CGGTGCTGCCCCGGGCCGCCGCCAGGCCCTCCAGCCAGGCTGCTCAGCTCGGCTCTGCTGGGCTCTGCTGGGCTCTGCTCCCAGAGCGGGCGGCGGACACAGTGCAGGCAGCGGAATTGTCTGAGTGAGAGCCCCTGGGCAGAACTGGCTGCTAGGCTCTGCTTATTATTATTTTTTTTTGCTTTTTTTTTTCAGCCCAGTTAGCCACCAGGAGCCCTGCCTACTGGTGTCTTCTTTTTTCTTTTCTTTTTTTAATAGTTTCGGTTCACAGTAGCCTGAGTTGGCTGGTGGGTTCATTCCAAAGACAAGCTTAGGTTTCTAGTGACATTCTCCACAAATGTAATGTTCTTTTCGCTTTAAGGTTCTCAGTGAAGTATGTTTCAAGCACGTCTGTAATGTGTAAGGCAGCAGAAAATACACTCTTTACAGTTACGAACTTAGGATAAGAATGTTTGATGTTGACTAACAGACGTGCTCACGGCTTCTCAGCACACTCAGGAGCGAGAGCGCAGCCCTCTGCAGTGCACGCCTGCGCCACAGCACACGGGTCCTCGGCTGGTCGGCTTCTTGAACTGGGTGGGTGGTGGGTGCCGGGCGTTTGAAGCCAGAAGGGCCGGAGCTGGGCCCTCCAGGGGGCGACGTGGCTCCTCGGGGACACCTGCAATCTCTGGTTGTCCCAGCGAAGGGGCTGCTCCTGGCATCTCGCGGGGGGAAGCCGGCCTTGCTGGTCGATGGCCTCGAGTGCAGACAGCCCCACTGCCACCCAGCGCGCGAGCGAGGGCAGAGCTCAGGCCAGGAACCGGGAGTGGGTGAAGGGGTCGTTCCAGGGAAAGATGAAGCAGGAGTTGTGCTGTGATGGGTGTAGTACAGGATTCACTTCTTTTTTTATTGAGATATAATTGGCATAACCTTGTATTAGTTTCAGGTGTGCAACCTAATGACTTGATACCTGTATATACTGTACAGTTCACCCTTAAACATGGGGTTAGGGGTGCCAACCCCCACACAGTCAAAAATTTGTGTGTAACTTCTGACTCCCCCAAAACTTAACTACTAACAGCCTGTTAGTCTTAAATAGCCTTAAACCATTGACACATACCGTTGTATGTTCCGTGTCTTATACGCTGCATTCTTACCATAAAGCTGCAGAAAAGGACATGTTGAAGTCACGAGGAAGAGGAAGTGCAGGTACAGTGTTTACTGGAAACCCTGCAGGCAGGAGGGGGTGGGGTGTGCGGTGCAGGAGGAGCCGGGGCCCCGGCAGAACTGCAGTGACCCCACGTCCCTGCCGTGACCCACACGCATGCCCCACTGCAGTGACCCACACGCATGCCCTGCCGTTCTCAGCCCTCGTGCCCCGGCCTCGCCATCCGCCACCCGGGCCCTCGGCTCTCGTCCTGCTGCTGGTCCAGCAGGACGCAGCCTCTTCTCATCCGCGACC